GTGGAAATGTGTAGCAGGCAAACACTCGAGACGCGTGGTGATGTCGGTGCTAAATGTGGAGGGAAAACCCGGAGGACCCGGCGAAAAATCCACGCGACCACGGGGAGAGAGAAACACGCAGACTCCAAATATACAGCAGCAAGCGTCAGGGATGGGATCGAACCCACAACCTCCTGCAGACCGGGCGAGGGAGTTAACATCTCCTAGCCACCGTGATGATGATGATGAGAGAGACACGCAAACTCCAAATATACAGCAGCAGCAGGCGTCAGGGTCGGGATCGAACCCACGACCTCCTGTATACCAGGCGAGGTAGTTAACATCTTCGACCCACCGTGATGATGATGATGATGAGAGACGCAAACTCCAAATACACAGCAGCAGGCTTCAGGGTCGGGATCGAACCCACGACCTCCTGCAGACCAGGCGATGTAGTTAACATCTCCTAGCCACCGTGATGATGATGATGAGAGAGAAACACGCAAACTCCAAATATACAGCAGCAGGCATCAGGGTCATGATCGAACCCACGACCCCCTGCAGACCAGGCGAGGTAGTTAACATCTCCTAGCCACCGTGATGGCGATGAGAGAGAGAGACACGCAAACTCCAAATACACAGCAGCAGGCGTCGGGGACGCGATCGAACCCACGACCTCCTGCAGACCAGGCGAGGTAGTTAACATCTCCTAGCCACCGTGATGATGATGAGAGAGAGATAGAGACACGTGTCGCTTGTCAGCGTGTCACGTGCTCCACTTGTCAGCGTGCGATGATCTCCGCCTCACTTCACGGCGCGTTCACGCAACTCGATTTGCGTGTGCGCGTGTGCGCGTGCGTGTAACCCCGTGGTTCAGGGGAGTTGGTGTGTTTCCACACCGCCGCCCGACTTGATGTGCCGATGATGATGCGAGATAAATCCCGCCCATCAAGCCCCCAATGCAACGTCCCGGAGTCACAGATCACCCGCGATGCCAACAGTTCAAGGCCGCATACATTTCACGCAATTACGCCTCAAATGATCGGCACGCATAGGGTGGTGGGGTTGGGTGGGGTCGTGGGTAGGTGGGGTAGTGGTGGTGGTGGGGGGTGGGGGGTAGTGGGGGGGGGATGCGGGGCAGAGGTCATTCAGAAATGAGGGCTCCCTCCGCCCACCCCGGGTCGGGGTCAATGCCGGACGCGTGCCGCTGTTGTATCGTGTCGTCGCCGCTGCTGCCGCCGTGCACAGGACGAGGAGGCAACAGTGGCAGTAACCTGCGTGCTCGGAGTAAGACAACGACGCGTTCCACGTTGGAGGTGTGTCACGTGCTAGTAAGGCTAGGAGATGTTAACCACCTGGCCTGGTCCACAGGAGGTTGTGGGTTCGATCCGGACCCTGACGACACCTGCTACTGTATATTTGGAGTTTGCGTGTCTCTCATCATCATCATCACGGTGGCTAGATGTTAACCACCTCGCCTGGTCTACAGGAGGTTGTGGGTTCGATCCGGACCCTGACGACACCTGCTTCTGTATATTTGGAGTTTGCGTGTCTCTCATCATCATCACGGTGGCGAGGAGATGTTAACCACCTCGCCTGGTCTACAGGAGATTGTGGGTTCGATCCGGACCCTGACGACACCTGCTACTCTATATTTGGAGTTTGCGTGTCTCTCATCATCATCACGGTGGCGAGGAGATGTTAACCACCTCGCCTGGTCCACAGGAGGTTGTGGGTTCGATCCGGACCCTGACGACACCTGCTTCTGTATATTTGGAGTTTGCGTGTCTCTCATCATCATCATCACGGTGGCTAGATGTTAACTACCTCGCCTGGTCTACAGGAGGTTGTGGGTTCGATCCGGACCCTGACGACACCTGCTTCTGTATATTTGGAGTTTGCGTGTCTCTCATCATCATCATCACGGTGGCTAGATGTTAACTACCTCGCCTGGTCCACAGGAGGTTGTGGGTTCGATCCGGACCCTGACGACACCTGCTTCTGTATATTTGGAGTTTGCGTGTCTCTCATCATCATCATCACGGTGGCTAGATGTTAACTACCTCGCCTGGTCTACAGGAGGTTGTGGGTTCGATCCGGACCCTGACGACACCTGCTTCTGTATATTTGGAGTTTGCGTGTCTCTCATTATCATCACGGTGGCGAGGAGATGTTAACCACCTCGCCTGGTCTACAGGAGGTTGTGGGTTCGATCCGGACCCTAACGACACCTGCTGCTGTATATTTGGAGTTTGCGTGTCTCTCATCATCATCACAGTGGCTATGAGATGTTAACCACCTCGCCTGGTCTACAGGAGGTTGTGGGTTCGATCCGGACCCTGACGCCTGCTGCTGTATATTTGGAGTTTGTGTGTCTCTCTCTCATCATCATCGCCACGGTGGCTAGGAGATGTTAACCACCTCGCCTGGTCTACAGGAGGTTGTGGGTTCGATCCGGACCCTGACGACACCTGCTACTCTATATTTGGAGTTTGCGTGTCTCTCATCATCATCACGGTGGCTAGGAGATGTTAACCACCTCGCCTGGTCTACAGGAGGTTGTGGGTTCGATCCGGACCCTGACCACACCTGCTGCTGCTGTATATTTGGAGTTTGCGTGTCTCTCATCATCATCACGGTGGCTAGATGTTAACCACCTCGCCTGGTCTACCATAGGTTGTGGGTTCGATCCGGACCCTGACGACACCTGCTGCTGCTGTATATTTGGAGTTTGCGTCTCTCGCGTGGATTTCTCTGCGGGTCATCCGCTATTGTTTCCTCCACATTTCAAGTCGAACGAATGCTTCGAGCATTTGGCCGACACAAAGGTCCACGTGATGATGATGATGATGAGAAGCCACCACTTCGTTGGGCTATCATTTGTGGCCAGGCCGCGTCTGAAAAAGAGCTCCACAGCTCTCAGCGGGGACCTTGCCTGGTAACACAAAAAAAAATCGTTTCGTAGTCGTTCACTTTGGAGGCAGCGGCGAGGGTTTTGGTGGATCGCCTCACCAACGATGTGACGCTTCCCCTTTCTCGTGGGAGTGAGGAGGTGCCACCGGACCCCCCGCGCTTGCCAGGCAGGCGGCGATAAACAGCAAACAACGTGGACTTCACCTGCTCCGCCTGTACGGGACAGAGCGTTGTGCCCCTTGCACGCCTGAGGTTCTTTCCCCCCGGGTGCTCCGGCTTCCTCACTCACGTGTAGACACAATCGCATGCGTTGTCCAAAAACAAATTCGTACACAGAGGACCCCAGAGCTGGGGCAATCGTTGGTGGCTGCTGCCGCCTTAACTCTTCCTCGTCCGTGGTTCCTTCTCCTGGTGCCTCAAAGTCGTCCTCTCTCGGACTCGTCCTCTCCCTCCCCAAGTCGTCCTCTCCCTCCGAGTCGTCCTCTCTCTGTGCCCATCCTCACCCTCCCCGAGTCGCCCTCTCTGTCATCCTCTCCCTCTCAGAGTCGCTCTCTCTCCTATCTCTCGGAGTCGTCCTCCACGTCTCTCTCTCGGAGTCGGCCTGTCTCTCCGAGCGAGTCGATGCTCGTACGGTGGCGGTGCAGTGTGTCTCGAGGCGGGCTCATTGTCGCTCTCTCAGCCAAAGTGCCGCGCGTTGAAGCTGCTCACAAGCAGTCGAGGCAAAACGACGTTAAACATCGTGAAGATCGATTAAATGAGCCACCATTCGTTAATAATGCGTCCCAGATTCGTGGGAGACGTGCCGTGTTTTTGTTTGTTTAACCCAGACACACAGCCTCGGTCAGGGAGTGTTCCTTTATCAGCAGCATTGCTTTCACAGAAATAATAATTTACACCGGTTTCGAAATCCAGCTCGCCTGGACAAGTCAAGGCTACCTTGACCCAATCAATGCCGGCGACCTGCCAAATGCTTTAAAGGCAACAGGCTCTTCTCTCCGTTTTCGATATGGGTCGGTGGCTGAAAGGAAACCGTTTTACTTTCTATCATTCACAACTCACCCCCCCCCCCCGGACCCAAGACCACCATCTCATCAGCAAGTAAACCGCACCTCCAAACAGCATGGCTGGCCACATACGGAGGGAAATAAGTTGTACGTACGGACACCTGTAACTCGAGCGGTGAAACCAGACGTAGATCGACAGCGTGTCGTCTACACCACCCAGAAGCAAACGTTGTTATATTGCCGAGTTTGCAATAACGCGTGGGGCTTTTGTTTAGTTTTGTCAAGACAACCACTCAACCCAGTGGCCCCTGGTAAGCGAGTTGATTTCGCGTGCACGGCCTGCACATTTGGAGTTTGCGTGGCTCTCTCTCGCGCCGAGATTATTTGGCCACGATAAATTGCCTCGCGATGATAAGCCACTTTCGCTGGGATATCATTCGTGCTGAGCAAAAATCGCTTCTGGAAGAAAAAATGACAATATCACAGCGGTGGACCTCACCTGGTAAATACAACGGTAGTCGTAATGTAAATCAACACGAATCGGCCTGTGTGTGCCACCAGCTGGCGCGTCGGTGTACAAATTGGAAGATTGCACAGCGAGATGACTCCATTGGGATGACACCGGCAGACTCCTGGCACCCAGGTCACCCGGACATGTTTAAGTGATCCTGGTTTTGCGAGTTCTCAGCTGGTTAAACCACAAAGTTAACATTTAGTCAGCTCCATCAATGTAACCACAAACAGGACCATCACAAACACCTTCATCAACAGCATTAATCGTTACCATCAACATCACCACCATCATGACAAACACCATCATCCATTGCATTACAATCACTACCATCACCATCTTAACCAACATTATACTTCACCAACATCATGACCATCACAACCATCACCATCATCAATAGCATTACAATCACTATCATCAACATCATGACCACCATCATAATCATCACAACAAACACCATCGTCATCAATCGCATTATGTACAATCATCGCCATCACCATCTTAGTCCCGATTTACAAACTCCCATCACCAAAACCAATCAGCACCAACACCACCAGCACCACCACCAAAAGAAGTCTCAGGAAGCATTGCCGTTAATTCTTGTATGCAGCTTTACTCTCAGGATTCCACAAACAACGCAATCGCTACGAAGATATTTCTCACGACACGTGGCAGGCAGTAAGTAATATAGAAAATATATGGAGTATAGAAAAAAACAGATAATCACTAAGGTATATCATGGTTCACAATACAACATGACATGTCGCGGAATGGCGATCATCACTATCAGTCCCATGAAAATGAAATCGAATTTCGCATTTCAATAATGTTGTATTGTTTCCCACCTATTGAGGATTTCCGGTGCCCACAGAGATATTTACTTGCACGGTTACTTAGCTGCTACCGAATAGTTTGCTCCAAAAAGAACCCCCGCCCCCCCCCCAAAAAAAAGACAGGCATGAAACAGCCGGGCCCCCACCCCCCACCCTTCTTAAACCGGAGTCACTGGCGTCCGCGATGTCCCCCGCTGTTGCTGGCCATCACGACGAGGAACGGCGATGACGAAGGTAACCGCGACGAGCGAGGGGAGAAGAGGAATGCGAGGAAGGAATGAGGTCACAGAGTTTGGGAATTTTTTTTTAAAGATTTTGTACAAGAGTGGCGAGCGGAATGGTGAACCGAGTACACAGGAATGGAGAAAAACAACAACGGTTGCATAGACAAAGTGGGGGGCTAGGGACTTGTGGGGGGGGGGGGGGGGCAGAGGACCTCCTCCCCCACGCTACCCCGGCCCCTCGTTCCAGACCGTAATCTGGCGGAATGAGTTGATGGCGGCTCCGCGGGGAGTTCAAGGCGAGTCGACCGCATTCCGTCCCGCGCCCGACAGAGTTCGCAACGCGCAACGGTAAAGCGGACGAGAGAGCGAGCGAGAGACCCGAGGCGTCAGGCCACCGCCGCTAGCCAGCCTGGCCGGGCTCCGCAAACGCTTACCGAACCCACCGCTCAACATTGCCCTGCGCAGCCCGGGGCAACAATAACAAGCGCAGCCCACGTCTCCCAGATAAAGGCAACTTATCTCCACAAGGCTGGCCAGGACGACATCAAGGAGCAATACAGTTTCACTGAATTCAGTCTCGCGATTAGAATTCGAGAACAGTTTGTGTTTCTCTCCCCTCCCACCCACATCTCACCGTCACGGAGAATGTAGTGATCACCCAGTGGCTGAAGGGGGGGGCCCTTAAGATGCACCCCCACCTCACAACGCTTGCGGTGTGCTGCACGGACTATCACTTGGGCGACAGGGTGGCGCAGTGGTGGCAAACCCGCGCCTCGCAGCAAGCAGGGCGCCAGGGGCTCGACTCCCGACTCGGGCACCGTTTCCTCCAGGCTCTGCGGTAACCACCTGCCATGGCTACACATACAATCTAACTGGGTATTGGTCAAACACCCTAACGCAGTACCCTCCTGTCAGCAGTCTTCAGACTCAGTGTGGCATTCCTGAGTTATTAAGCAATTGTCATAATTGGCAGCCCTTTGTAGATCCACTGCTGGATGAAGGCCTCCCTCCGCATGCCGCCTCGGTCACGGGGGGCTCGTTCGACCGTACTTCACCACGCTGGTCAGCTGTTGCGGGGTTTTGCCAAGTGCGAGCGTCGGGACGCCCAGGAGCGGCTCGGTTAAATGCTTGCCGCGGCCGCCGTTAGCCACGGCCAGGAATCGAACCTCGGGTTTGCGAGATTCATAGTGGGGGTGCCAAGCCTCACCGTACCCCTCTCAGCTTTCACCCTGGTCCTATAACAAAGCGTAGGCCCCAACCTGTAACCGTTGAAGCATCGCGCGTCGTTGTGTTATCGCAACGCCGCACCGTCCCTCCTGTAGGGAACGCAGAAGCGATGGGCTCTCGCGTGGACGCGAAACGATTATGTAATTGACATTGCGGACACGCTCCTGCCGTTGATACTGCCACGAATGCATAAATTAAAACAAGGTCAAGCAATTGAAATGTACGCGTCACTTGCATTATTGAAATTATATTAAAATTTGCCCCAATTAGTATTCATAAAATAATTCACGCGAGCCAATTTTTTAAAGATTTTTTTTTTTGGCTGTCCGTGACTTTTGCCGACATAGCGAGCAATTGTGATTATTATGCAGTCCCTAAATAAACAGAACTGCGAAATAATGCAGTCAAAACTGTGCTAAAACTTACGCGTCAAATTGGGGTTTAACGTTCCGCGGTCAAAGGGGGACAATCCAAAATCCGCGGAAGTTCCCATCCTACGGTGGCGTATTTGACTTGGGCCCATCATCACCCCCCCCCCCCCAGAGTCGCTAAAATAGTACCAACTTATGAGCAATCAACAGCCGTCACCCTGCCCCTCAAAAACCAAGTAACCTCCAGCCATGGAATTGTGGAACTCCCAATGTTGCCCCACACGTTACCCCACCTCCACCAAGCGACCTGCCCATCATCGGCTCGCGACCGGTGCTGGGTGGGACAGAGACACAGCGAGGCACTGGCGAAGAGACGAGTGGGGCCGGTTGAATGGGGTTCAAGAAACTCGCCCCCCACTGTTACAACAGCCAGCGGCGGGAGAGATCGTGTCGAACCGACGACCTCCCATCTCGGCGTGGCGCCTCGGGCCGCTGACCCCCTTTGCTCGCGTCTCTGCCACGTCGGGTTCTGGATGCTGCCGACCCGGCAAGAACGCCGGCGCGTCTCCAACGACGGTCCCTTCCAAAGCGGTACCCGAGCGCGCGGCCGACGTGCGCGGTGCGAGCGCGCTCGAGGTTTAGCGGCGGCGAACGCGCCGCGTGCCCACCGCGACTATTGGTGAAAAAATGCTCGGGCCCTCGGCAGGGGACGGTTCGACCACTCGTCTGGTTTGCTTGCGCCGGCGCGATGATTTCCCGACGGGACGGAGTGGGAGTCGTTGCCGGGGGAGGTTCCCGAGTCGATTCCAGTGGCAGCGAGGTGACCACGAGGCTGACCACAAATAGCCGTCGCGTGCACGAAAAGCCTCCGAGCGGTTATCTGTGTCCGCACGCTACGTTATCCATTTACCCACCCAGAGCACAGAGGGCGTCGTAAACGGCGTGTTCGCACCCACCGCTCCTTATCACCGCCACAAAGATCCCATGTATAGTCTTAAGAGACTGTTTCGGCATGTGCCGTTAGCGAGCAATTAAGGCCGATACGACACGGTGGGTGGCCATCACCACGCCCCTCGTCTCTCGAGGGGTGATGTTTACACACCACGCCAGGTACTAATTTGAGGCCGAGTCGACCTAGGGGAGGCCCATGACCGGTTCAGATAACCGTCACTGATGTTGGCCGGCAATCGAACTCGGGTCGCCGGGTTCGTAGCCCAGCGCGCCAACCGCTACACTATCGCTCCCCACAGCCAAGGGCAAATACACATACACATGCACTCGCTCACACTCGAGTGTCGAGCACAGATACGCGTGCGAACACACACACGGCGGGGGGGGGGGGGGGGGGGTCACGATCAAACATGGTGTGACGCACAGATATGACGCAGACATAAACACGGGGGTCATGGTCAAACTGTGGTGTGTGACGTATGCATGCACACGTGTCCACCAATACAAATGGAAGTCACACACGCACAGGTGACACGCACCCACACAAGTTACTTGTGGTCAACATGAGGTCGCGTCACCTTCCCCCCGCCCCCCCCTCCCCGTTAAACCCGCCATGACCCCCGGTGCACCGCTGGTGGACTGACAATACCAGAGTGGGGATTGGCGGCGTCAAGCGGTTTCACGATGATGACCTCTCCACTTGCAAACTCAAGGTCCTTCTTTTTTTGCGGTCATCTGCTGTACACCCCCCCCAGACGGAGTGGGGGGGGGGCATCATCGACAAGTCGACGCGCGACCGCTCCACGCTCGCTTGCGTTGGGAGTTTTTGTTTTTGTTGCTGTTGTCATTGTTCCCGGGACAGCGGCGATACGACCTCGCTGCTGCGGTTCCGGTGGAAACTCCCAACCCCAGGGTTTGCCCAGCGAGTCGGTGCTTCATTCAAATGATGGCAGAGTATGCGGCGGGCGTGGGGCGGGTGCGGGCACACCACGTCGCTCACGTTAGTAGGCGCGATGCCGTCAGCCCGGCCGCAGGAAGAGTTGCGTTTCACCTTTTCTAGTTTCAAAACGGTTCGCCCAGAACCTTGTGAAACGCGAGCCGGAGTCACCACCGGCGATGTGGGTGGGGGGGGAGGGGGGCAAACCCCGGCACGGAGCGTCGCTCACCCCTCCCCACAGGAACCGGAAGTCAAGGAGCAGCGGCCGATTCTAGCTCCCGCCCTCCCCCGGCTAAAATTATAGTAAAAAATGCACGCAGACTTAAAGCTAAAATTACGAATCTAAAAAGCTCCGTCAACCGCTCTGGTGTCCAACCGGGACGCCGTCACCCCGACGGAGACAAATTACGGGAAAAACATTGCAACAAGCCATCGGCTACATGAGCGCAAGCACCAAGCGGCGGCTGCTTTTAAGGTATTTCCTGGAGTGTGTGCCGGAGCGGAATCTTGTTCCGGAACCAGACTACGCTCCAATGAATCCCCCCCCACCCTCCCGCCCCCACCCCGTGTCAAATCCACCACCGATTTTTTTTTTAAACCCCATTGGCTGCTTGCAGGCGTGCCGGCTACGGCGTCCGTGCGGGCCGTGTCGTGGGCGACGCCCCAGTGCAACACGGCCAGGACTCGGCACGAACTCGCCCTGTTGCAGGCCTCGCAGCCCCACCTTCAATTACCCACCGATGCCGTGGCATCCGGCGGTGGTGGATTGGACGGTGGGGGTCGTGAAAGCAGGGGTCGTGTCGGTTGGAAGCACGGAGCGGCTCACTTGAGCAACGGGGACTCAAAGTAATTTCCCGTCTTCTTAAGTGACGTCACCGACGGGGTCTTGGCACGGCTGCCGAACCTGTCGTGGGGTCACGGTGGGGGGAGAGGGGCGGAGATGGCAGAGGGCAAAAGGTCAGTCGGTAACGGAATTGACGATTAGCGGCGTCATTGTAATAGGGGTGCAATGACATCCTCCGCTTTTACGATTCGAGAATTTGTAAAAAAAAAATATGGGTTTGACTGCCGCGCGACGAACACTGTGGGTGTGAGAGTGCGAGCGCGTGGCAGCTTTCGCTCACTTGGGGGTGAGCGTCGACTTGAAGCGCTGCGACAGGGAGCTCGTCGACGGCGTCTTGGTTGGGGTGGGGCCGTGCACCATCTCCGGCGTGGTCAGCGGGCCCAGCATGCTCGAGCCTGCACCACGCAAACAAGCGCCAGCGGCGGCGCCACGCACCCCACCGAGGGCTGCTAACGGGCACCCGTCTCGCCGGTAAACACGGAACACGTTGGACCGACGCGCGTCCCCACCACGCCGCCAATGTTAAAACTGTCACAGCCGGATCGGCCGGTCTCTTCTCCGGATCCGGGCGATGCCCTCCTGTGGTGGGTCCCGATATTGCACGCGAGGAGATTGTAGGTTGGTTGCGTATACGTTGAACTTTCACCCCGCACCTAGCCAACCGTCCTAATCGCAGGTTGTTTGTGAGCCAACACACAGGCAACACAAGAGGATCTTTCTGCTGCTGCCATCTAGTGGCAACATGAGATATTGTAAACAATGTTGCACAAGGATGAAGGGTCAAGCCCCATTCACTCCTTTAAATTATTACCACATTAATGCATTTAAATAAATATTTTGCTGGCTGCATGGTGACGCACAGACGAGCAATTAATATTGCCGTGAAGGGGTTAACGGCGACTCTACAGCGGTACCGAATGGTCACATTGCACTGCAGTAGCGCGTTCGACGCTTGGCGCACAGGTCCGTGGGCACAATCCAGCAGGCCGGCTATTACTCTGGACATATTCACCTTAAAAATACTACTACTACCACACACGCACCATCTGCTGCTGTGCACAGTGGAGGCGAAAGATCCCGTGACGTCATTCAAAACAGAGTGGGCCAGTGCGTGCCGGCGACACGGTCCAAAACATTTATCCGAATTTGAAAATATAAATAACAATAATTACAGCGCTAATTACTCGGTCGGGATTACACACAGCAGCATCGCCCCCTCCGACTGCAAAACTACCGCCGTCTACACGACGATCCCCTTGCGCTTCAAGGACGTCGCGAAGGCCGAGCGTGCTCAACTCGCGGCGGGTGTCGAATGGATGGCCGCTCACCGATGGGCGTGCGCTGGTCAGGAGTGCCGTAAGTGTCGTCGGGCCTCCTGCTGTCGCCGGCCGACACGAACTTGCTCCAGTAGTCGGGAGACAGAGACAGCAGCCGCTCGATCACCTGCGCTCGTGGGAGGGGCACACGGCCGGGAGTCCAACTCAGGTCCCGTATTAAGATTGACAAGGGACACCCCCCCCCCCCATCACTGTATTCTCTTTGTCAACGTACACAGGTGATGACTGCAACTGGTAACGCTTTCGGAGGGAGGCAAAGACAAAATCCTCCGTGTAGCCTGTAACAGACTGTAGAGACAAATGCTGCTAGAGAACACCTATGAAGGCCGGCTCGGTACACGAGGTGATGGGTGGTCAACACCACGCCCGGCCGCCTTTGTCTCCGCCGTGGCGATGTTTACACACCACACCAGGTACTCATTTGAGGTCGAGTTGACCTAGCGGAGGCCCAGGACCTGTTCACTGTTGTTGGCCGTGAGCGGGAATGAAACCCGTGTCGCCGGGTTTGTGATGTGGCGTGCTAACTGCTCCCAACACACACACTCAATCTCTTACACACAAAGACAAAGATCCCCCGTGTAGCCTTCATAGACTGTTGGGGCAAGTGCTGTTCGCAAGCACCTATGCACTCTCTCGCACGCACACACTCGTACTCTCGCACACACACACTTGCGCTCTCTCACACTCACACACACACACACTGAACCCCGTGTGCGTGCCGCACCGCTGGCTGGCGCCGCGTGTCTTGCAGCATGACCATGGGCGAGGGGTCGGCCGTCGCGTGGCCCACCAGGGTTGGCCCAAACACCCGCGCCAGGTTGTACGCGTCCATCTTGCAGTCCAGGCTCTTGGCCACCCTGGCCAGGACACGGGCAGCAGCAGCGCAGAGGGGCAGGCGGGGGCAGGCGAGGGCAGGGGAGAGAGGAATCATTAAACGTGGTGCGAAAGCAAGCGTAGTGCAACATACAAGCGTGTGTGCGTGCGTTTGCGATTTGTGCTCATGAATGTGTATATGCATTCGAGTGTGGGTACAAGTGCGTTGGTGCGAGCATGTGTGTACGATTGTGCAAGACCAGCCTGTGTGGGCTCTATGGGGGATCCTTTGCGTGCGAGTGAGCGAGCGAGTGCATGTCAGCGAGCGTGTGTAAGTGGAGACGTGCGTGTGCGCACGTGCGAGTGAGCGTGCGAGCGTGTGCAAGTGGAAACATGCGAGTGAGTGTGTGCGTGCGTGCGAGTGAGCGTGTGCGAGTGAGTGAGCGAGTGCGAGTGTGTGCTTGCGTGTGCGTGCGTGCAAACGAGTGAACGTGCGTGCGAGTGAGTGCGTGCGAGTGTGTGCGCGTGCGAGTGAGTGCGTGCGAGTGTGTGCGTGCGAGTGAGTGTGCGTGCGAGTGACTGTGTGTGAGCGAGTGTGTGCGCGCGCGTGCGAGTGTGTGAGCGTGCGAGCGTGTGCGTGCGTGTGCGAGCGTGTGCGTGCGAGTGTGTGCGCGTGCGACCGAGCGTGCGAGTGTGTGCGTGAGTGAGTGTGTGCGTGCGAGTGTGAGCGTGAATGAGTTTGTGCGTGTGAGTGTGTGCGTGCGAGTGAGTGTGTGTGCGTGCGAGTGAGTGTGTGTGCGACCAAGCGTGCGTGCGAGTGTGTGCGTGAGCGAGTGAGTGTGTGCGTGCGAGTGTGAGCGTGAATGAGTGTGCGCGTGTGAGTGTGCGCGTGCGAGCGTGCGCGTGTGTGTGTGCGTGCGAGGGCCTCACTTCTGCAGGTGCAGCATGAGGAAGGCGAGCGTGTCACGGTTGGCCTGCGGCAGCTCGTCTATCGCCTGGAACATGGCCGCGACGCTGTTATCCTCGTCCGGAATCTCTGTAGAAGCACGCAGGCACACACGCCGACACGCTTGCGAGTTTGCAAAGTTCATCTTTACATGAGTGTGCGTGCGTGTCTGCGTCCGGTTTCGACGTACAGCGTCTCATCAGCAGTCGGTCAAAATCGGCCGGGTTTTGTTTGTCCAGGCAGCCGCTGGGTTACGGATGGGTTAGGTTCCCGAGAACGATCCGTAACCCGAATTTTCCATATGTCCAAAACTGAACAATTTCCCACCAAATTCAGGAAAAAATCCCATAGCGGAAACAGTTACACCTCCCCTACCGTTTTCTGTCAGTGTTGCATCGCGCTGTTGTCCGTTTTCTATCGCTACCGGCATCGCATCGCTGGAAATACGCTCTGCACTCCCTACGATTCTTTCATTTCATTGAATATTTACCCAAACAGTACCCATAATCAAACTAATGGAACATATACTGTATCCAATTGTTTATAAATACCAAGGATTTTTTTTTTATTATCAGAAAGCAGTCACTTCCGAATGTTATACTCTTTGGTTTTTTCGGTAAAGTCACGTAGGTTAAAAAAAGAAAACAAATAAATTAAATCACGACATTTCGGAGGCAACACAAGCAACACAAGCCTCCGAATGTTATTTTACCGTGCATTAGGCTAGGCCTAATCTTCTCCAATCGCTGTTGGCTGAAACCAGAAGCAACCCAAATGAAATTGTGTTAAATAAAGTACATACGGTAAATAACTCGGGAAAGAAACTCAAAATAAAGAAAACTAACAACAGAAACATGGGCGAAAAAAAGCGTTCTAAGCATAGAAAACGAACAATTACGTAGCGCTACAACCATTTCAATTTACTTCAATCCTGTTGAACCTCGGGCTCAGTGAAGGCAGCGTTTTGGCGGAGCGAGGCGCAAGGCGGTGCACTTACGCCTCGCTCTGCGGTATTCATCCGCAACCTCACCGCGCTGCACTACTTGCGCTTATGTAACTAACGCAAACATCGATTTTTTTTTTACATTATTTAGGGAAGAATTTCCGGAAAGTTGGATTTCCATAAGTCGGGGGCCTTCCGCAACCAGGGGTCTGACTGTATTTGAATCAATGCTGCTGAAATAATACGAACCCAGAAGGTAGAGCGGCTGACGATTTGTGTAAGAGAAACTTTTTTTTCCACACGTGGAGAGCCGGCTGTATAAACGAGAAGTATAGTCTGCTAGTTTGTATGTGCACATGTTGAATTTCTTTCGCACTGTGCGTAGCCAATCTTGCTAATTGGAGGCTAGCACGACTTGTGGGACGGGCCGAGTGTGTAAAATGTGTGTCGTACACCCTCCTCCACCCGACACTGGCAATTAACAAAGGTGTCACGTGATGAACAAACGTGCCAATTGATTACTGCTTCATCAGCAGCACCGCCACTCATATTGGAGAACAAGGCACACGACGTCTAACAATTGGGCACGACCGTTCCGTCGATAGTTGCAACCAGCGTTATCAGGCACATTGGAAAAATTGTGAATTGTGCCCAACGACTATTTAGCGTTACAAATTCTGTCGGATCATCGTTACGTGGCCTAACTGCCTCTGCCAAAACACAACAAAAAAGCAACAACACAACAACAAATTACAAAAACAACAGAAAACGACAGATCGCACACTATTTCAGCAGGTGGTGAGATGTTGACTCCCTCGCCTGGTATACGGGAGGTGGTGGGTTCGATCCTGACGCCTGCAAAATATTTGGAGTTTGCGTGTCTCTCTCCCAGTGGTCGCATGGCTTTTTCTCCGGGACCTCCGATTTTTCCCCTCCAAATTTAAAATCAACATCAAACGTTTAGAATAATTGGCTGCTAGAAATTCCACACATGATGATGAGCCCCTTCTAAAGCTAAAGACAACATATGGCGAGGGAAAAGTGAACACAATCCAGCAGCTGGAATGAAGATTGTTTATTTGAATGTACACACGAGTTGAGAATTCTACGTGTCGTTTTTTTTGGTCTGGACCGCTGGTCCCCCTCCAGATTTTCGCTTTTAAAAAAAAGAGCAAATGGCTTAGTGGGGCTTTAGTTGAGTTGAGGGGTTCATGGCGCAGGCCCGCTCACCTGCGGCCGCCATGAACGTGCCGTTGAGCGCGAAGGTGAGCAGCGGCTCCTTGAGGCTGCGCAGGAAGTCCTTGAGGAGGCCGCACACCACATGGACGTCCTCCACCTTGCTGAGCACCGGCACGGTGCCGCGGCCGCGCACGAAGCGCTCCTTCAGCTCCTTCACCGTGCGGTCGCAGCCCGGCACGCGGTAGATCCCCGTCTGACGCCGTCCGGCACGGGACACAAAAGTGTGAACATTCCACCCCTCCCCCCCACCGTGTCGTCTTTGACAGACTGTCGTGTTGAGGCGGGTCGCTGTTAGCGAGCGCCTCTTATTAAGGCCGGCACGGCCGCGCAAGGGTATTGGTGTGGCTAGGGAGACACCCGGCCGATCTTTGTCATGCTGATGTTTACACAACGCTACCAGGCACTCGTGTGAGCCTAAGTCGACCTAGGGCAGTGTTCTTTACTAATTCTCAGAGGGAGGGCACTTTCGCCGATAAAACATCACCAGTGTGAGGTGCTGCCACACATTTGAAACCATTGGGGTTTGACAGCAGCATGATGGGGTGGTGCCAGAGGCCGCACTGAAGGCCACCAGGGGTCGCCAGTGGCCCGCGGGCCTTGCAGTAAAAAACACTGGCCCAGGGGTATGCCCAGAACCGGTTCTGACATTCACCCCCGATGTTGACCGTGGCCATAAATCAAACACGGGGCCGCTGGGTTCGTAGCGTGGTGCACCATCCACTGGGCCAACGCTCCCGAAAGTGGGAAACCCCCTAAGTACCACATGCAGAAGATGCCAATTGTGTCGCCCTCACCGTTTTCCCAACTATTTTGCATGTTATATCATAACATGCAGAATAATCTAACCGATTAAAAGCTAGCCGATTATTGGTCGAGTAAACGGTTACAATAATTGGATAGTCAGCTCTCAACGATAGGCTGGAGGGGGGGGGCGAGGCAAGGGCATGAATATCAGAGGAAAACAAGAGGGGTCATGTAGGAACAGGATAATGCAGGGGACAGGGCAAGGGAGCACAGGGCAAAGAATCAGATTAAGTAGCATGGCAACACAGGGGTAATGCAAGGGCAGGTGTGGAGGAGCGGGGCAAGGCATGGGGGGAGGAGGGCATGGGAGGGAGAGGAGGGGTGGCTGGGGGTGGTGCTCACCTCGTGCATGCCCTTCTGCTCGATCTCCCCCACGCAGCGGATGACGAGCAGGGGGATCATGGGCGCCGTGTTCGGCGCAAAGTCGGCCACCGTGCCCTGCAAACGTCGTCTTTGTTTTATTTTGCATACAAAGAACTTGTTTTACGTACCGCAGCGCTTTGAGATATTTCGACATGAAAGGCGCCTCGTGGAAGAAAGATTATCGCGACGACGACGACGTTTTACCTCGGCCAGCGTGAGCGGCGTGCTAGGCACGGCCGGCGTGCACGGCAGGGGGCAGCGGTCGCGGCACTCGGGGTGAGCCGCCGTGCGGCACTCGCGGCAGCGCAGCACCATCTTGCCGAAGCGGATGCGCCGTCCGCACGGGACGCACGCCTCCGGCTTGATCGACTGCGACGCACGCGCGCGCACATTCAGACGAGCGGGGAGAGGGCACCACGGTAGTCAGATGTTAAAATACCTCGCCTGGCACGCAGGTCATGGGCTCGATCCCAACCCTGACGCGTGGATATTTGGAGATTTGAAGCTTTCGTGACTGCAAGGATTCATATTCTTAGTTTTTTTCGGTAAAGTCACGTAGGTAAAACATCAAAATTAATAAAAATAAAATAAAACAAAAATCACGACGTTTCGGAGGCAACACAAGTCTCCGTCATCAGGTGGGACCGTCACAGCCGGATTAGCTGCATCAAGTGAGGCAATGATTCAAGATGTAATCCCTTAACAAGCAAGTTTAGGGGGAGGAGAGGGGGGGGGGGAGCTAATCAGAATGTGTTGCCTCCGAAACGTCGTGATTTTTGTTTTATTTTATTTTTATTAATTTTGATGTTTTACCTACGTGACTTTACCGAAAAAACCTAAGAATATGTATATTTGGAGTTTGCATGCTTCTCTCCCCGTGGTCGCGTGGATTTGTCTCCGGGTCCTCCGGTTTTTCCTCACACATTTAGAATCAACATCACGCGTTTAGAGAATTTAGCCGTTATAAATTTACACGTGATTAGCCACTTCGTTGAGTATCACTTGTGGCCAGGTCACTTTTGGAAAAGAGCTACGTAGCTCAGTGGGCCTTACCTGGTAAAATCTAAATAGTTTATAGGTACACACACGTCTGAACACGTGCGCAAACACAGGCACACGTGCGCCCAAGCACACATTTGTTCAGACGCGCGGCCAGAGGTACACACATTTAACGCACGTATTCAAACGTGCACACAGTGCATATGTGTGTGTGTATTCTTAGTGTAGGGAGCGGTAGTGTCTTGGTGTCTTGGTTAGCACGCTGCGCTATGAACCCGGCCTCCCCTAGGTCGACTCAGCCTCAAATGAGTAACTGGTGCGGTGTGGAAACATCGCCACTAGGGAGACAAAGGCGGTGTTGATCACCCATTCACTCATGTGCCGTGTTGGCCTTCATAGGTGCTCGCTTAAAGCACTTGCCCCACCAGTCTGTTACAAGCTATATGGGGGATCTTTGTCATTGTATTCTTAGTGTGTGAGCAGTGGGAGAGAGCGCCCCCTACCGTCTTCTGCACAAAGTCGTGCTGCCGCAGACTCCTGGGGGTGCCGTCTCCGGCACCGTGGGTCGGCATGGCCACAGACATGACATTTGGCTCTGTAGGGCGGCACACGGCGAGAATCGGTGAGCCACGGAGAGATACGCGGAAACACGCAGAGACACGGGGTGAGACAAGGGGGAGACAAGGGGTGAGACAAGGGGTGAGACAAGGGGTGAGACAAGGGGGAGACAAGGGGTGAGATAAGGGGTGAGACAAGGGGTGAGACAAGGGGTGAGACAAGGGGGAGACAAGGGGTGAGACAAGGGGTGAGACAAGGGGTGAGACACAGGGTGAGACACGGGGTGAGACACGGGGTGAGACACACAGAGACACTGAGCGAGACACATTGAGTTACTGAGACACACAACAGTCAGACACGGAGAGTCACAGAGATACACAGACACGGGATGAGGATATGGAGACGCTTGGTGAGACAAAGACAGACGGCGGCAGACGGGAAGACACGTGATCATACACACGGAGACGCACGGTGAGACAGAGTGCGATGAACAGCCTTGTCTACTCCTGTGTATTCCAGCATCTTCTCTTCCTGTCCCCTTGTGTCCCTGCATCAGATCCTCATCTCCCCCTCCTATCCGTGCATAGTCCCCCGTCCCCAAGCCCTCTCCTGTTCGTGTCTCTCCCCCCATGCCCTCGCGATCATCTCCTCTGTCCGTGCGTCTCCTCCTCTTCCTATGCATCTCCTATCCCTTTATTTTCCCACCTCTCCCAGTGTGTTGCCTGGCAACTCCTCCTTTCTATTGAGTCTCCTCCGCTCCCCATACATCTCCCCTTGTCCCTACATCCTCTGATGCCCCCTTATCCTTTCCAACATCTCATCCCCTCCAACGCTTCCACCCATTGCATCTCTTCCTCTCCCTGCGCATCCCCCTGTCCCTTCATACTCCTCCCCACACAAGCCACTTCGTTGAGCTATCATTTGTGGCCAGGGCGCTTCTGAAAAAGACCCCAATAGCTGAGTGGGCCTTTACTTGGTAAGATAACATTTGGCAAGATAGATGACGACCGCTTGTGTTGCGATCGAAACGTCGTGAGTTTTTGTTTATATGTTTATATGTATATATATATTTTTTATTTTTTCTATCTACGTGACTTTACCGAAAGAACCGAAGAAGATGAATTCCTGAAGTCACGAAAGTTAAGTCAAAATTTAAGATATAATTTGTTTAGTTTCATTTGTATATTTTTAAAGCGATTTGCTTTACGTTTCCTATACTTTGAACCTCTATTGTGTTTTTGTATTGTTTGTTGGTGTAATGTTCCGACCTACTCCAACTTTATAGCTCATCGGATTCCTCAAACACAAATAAATATTCTGATCTCTTCTCCTGTGTCCCCCCCTCCCACCGCTCCCTGTACGTCTTTTCCTCTCCCCGTGCGTGCGTGCGGCCCCCCCACTCCGTCCGGGCCTCACCGCCGTTGACGGCCGAGAGCCGGCGCCCGCGGCTGGAGCGGCGGCGCGAGGGCCGCGTCACCGTCTCGATGGTGGACACCGCCTCGATGGTGCCGCCGTGCTGCGGCACCGTCACCGTCGTCGTGGCGATGATCGACTCGTTACCCTGCACCACCGTCGGCAACAACAACGGAGTTCTCCCATCAGAACCAAATACTTTCACCGCCGGTTCATTCACGCAAAATAAACCGAGGACGTAGAATGGAGAAGGGGGAGGCTGGCGACGAACAAAGGCGTGCAATCGGTGGGCAACAGAACCACGCGGAACAGATGCACCGGACTCGAAGGGACAACGACCAGGGGTCGGCAACCAAAATAACAAGAGCGTCAATTTTTTTCGAATTCGGTAAATATCTCAATATTTCAAGAGCCGCGGTGCACGTGGTGAATACGAAGACGGTGGTGGTCCTGAATAAATGACGTCACGAAGCAGTCCTTAAAGAGCCGCAGGTTGCCGACCCCCGGTCAACAACAACCTGTCCCTGCATTCCCACAAATACGGTGTGCAGAAAAGCCGACCTTGGCCTCCTCGGAGATCATGCAGGAGCGCTTGGCGGGGACCGGTGGCGTCTCGGCGTGGTGCAGGCGCGGAGACTTCTGCGCAGACGACCGCGGGAGGGGAAACACGACCGTAAGTATACACAGATGACCACTTCTACAAATCGCTTTCTTTCTTTTTTCCACCGACACACGTGAACCGAGCCAAGCAATAGGGTCATTATAGCAAGTGGGATTTTTTTGGAAAAGTAACAAATATTCTAAGTTGATGCTTAGGTTGTTTAGCCATTCAATGGTGTAGATTGTAAGTTGGTGAACAGCGGGATGGGTGGGGCAGATTGACAGAGTGGAACTAATCAGTGCCACTGGTGAGTAGTCAGAAATTATTTTTGAGCAGCCTCTTGCAGCTATAGGGGTCAACGAAACCCATTACATCAGAGGTTCCAAATGAAGGGATTGCAAGTGTAGGAAGGGCTTTTATTCAGGGTGGAGAAAGCATGGCTCGTGATTTTTAGTTCTTTCATATGGCTGATGAACATGTAGAGGGGTCGGGAACCTTTTTGACTGGGAGAGCCATAAAAATCAAATATTTCTTAATATATTTCATTGACAGCCATATAGTATTTTTAACGTATAATAAATTAAATATGTCTTACTTTCAATGCGACTTCTGGTCACGGTATCCGTGACCCGAGAAATTTTATCTTCAAAACTAATTTCTGTTAACTTTAAAATGACACAGTATTATTAAGCAATATCACAAGTATTTTAAAATCAGTTCAAGACTGATTTTATTATTATTTTTGTATTATTATTTTTTTCAACTCAAAATTGTCTGGGAGCCATATGCCGTCACCGGAAGAGCCATATATGGCTCGTGAGCCATAGGTTCCCGACCGCTGATGTAGAGCAACAACAGCCTTAAGAGCTGAAATGCCTCTTTCATCGCCACGGCGGCTAGGAGATGTTAACTACCTTGCCTGGTATACAGGAGGTTGTGCGTTCAATCCCGACCCTGAAGCCTGCTGAATATTTGGAGTCTTCGTGTGTCTCTCTGTGGTCGCGTGGATTTTTCTCCGGGTCCTCCGGTTTTACCCTCCACATTTAGAATCAACGTGCATTTAGAGTATTTTGCTGCCATAAATTTCCACGCAATAAGTCACTTCGCTGAGCTATGATTTGTGGTCAGGTCGCATCTGAAAAAGAGCTATACAGCTCAGTCGGCCTTACCTGGTCAAGTAAAGAAGAGTTTAGTTTTAGTAGATTAGTAGGATTATGATGGTGGTGCAGCAACTCAGCCGATGACAGCGCTAGGTCAATACACGAGCAGCGGATCAAAGGGCGGCATCGTGAGGTGCGGCACACACACGCACGCACCCGCTTGTCTCCCCTACGCCCGCTCCGCAGCACAGATGCGTCCGTGTCCTGGGAAAGGCAGCACGCCGCACGACAAAGCCAAACGGCGAGCGTTAACACGATGCAACGCGGAATAACGCAGCCACAACTGCTTAGCCACCACGGCTATTTTTAAGGCTAGAATGCGTAACCGCAATTTTGGGGCAAATGCGCTACGAACCCGGCGACCAATAACGGTGACAAATATGTTAACCGGTCTTGGGCCTCCGTTAGATCGACTCAAACCTTAAAATGAGTATGTCCTGTGTACCTCTGGCCATCCAGACTGTGACCTCCTGACTGTGTGTGGGCTCAAATATCCACACACACACACACGTGCATGCCAACACACACGCACCGATCACTGGTAAGCAGCATGAAGTTTAAAATATATATATTTAATTGCCAACATTGCCCCAAAAAACGATATTCTTGCGTTTTTGCGCTGGTATTCTGTGTGGTGAATAGTGGGATTTTATTAATTTTCTTAATACCATGTCCTTGGGATGGACACACGGACATAATGCATTTCAGGGACATATCAACAAAGTGGCCGATCTCGTATATCACCACCAAAGAAGCCATTGTCCACTCACCAGGTCATCGTCCGTGCGGTCGTAGCTGATGTCCGACGCCGACAGGATGGAGTTGGACGATTCATCAATGCGGGTGAGGCTGGCGGTAGGGTGGTACCGGTGGATAGGGTGGTGGTGGTGTAAAACCAGGCACACAGTGTACACACGGCACGCAAGCTGGTGAGTTTATCATATCCATACTTTAACTTAAATGTGTACAAGTTGCCCTCACGTTACGCGCAGCTTGAGCGATTTCGCATTGTTTACGCAGCGAAACTATTTAGACCCAAAATGCACTCTTATACGGTTTGATCACTCTCGTGCGGCTATGCGGTCAGACGTGGTAAAACATTGCAGGCAGTTGTCTCATGCTTTGCGCGCCCTTTTATTTGTAATGCATCAACTGCGTAAAGTGAGGGAAACTTGTAGAACAATCTGTCGGCAGGCAGTTATCTCAAGCACTGCGAGTGTTAGTCCGGTGGACCCTGACTGTTATTACTACGATCCTCCCCGCCTGCCCCACCCACGTTGGTTACCGGTGAGCCTTGGGCGCGAGGCCGCTGGAGGTGCGGGTGTTGAGGAAGGCGAGGGCATTGCGTTGCTCCTCGCTCAGCTGCAAGCTGCAGCTGCTGTCCTGCACCAGCAGAAGCTCCCGGATGAGCTGAATCTGCCGGTCCTGGGAGCACCATCACGACGGCGGCACACGCGAGGGACGGTGAAGCGTCAGGGGCACGGGCGGAAAAACTTCGAGGTCGAACACGCGAGCGAGAGTGTTACCTTGCTTACTAAGTCACGAGCAATCAGTAATCAGAGCCCCGTTACGTTTTCAAAAGCAATCCTAATCCCTCGCTGGAACCGGGGGAGGAGGTTGGTACGAACGTCACGCAGCGGTGGTGCAGCAGTTTATAATGCACCATGCGCGACAGAACCCACCGACTCGAGTTAAATTCCTGGCCATGGCTACTACCATCGAAGGCGAGCGATACGTCACGCGGTCCTGGCCCTTCGCCAAACCCGCACGGTTGGCTAACCTCCGATACGCAAGCTTGTCTACGTACGGTACGAAATAATTTCAACACGCATAATGCGGCAAGGCACGGCCGCTGTGCAACATTAAACACCCACGACTCGCGCACGGATCGTACCAGGCGCTCGCACTCCACCTCCGCCTTCTGGCGGCGCTTGATCTCCACGTCCACCTGGTTGCGTGCGTGCTTCAGCTTCACGTCGAGCGCCGCGCGCTCCGTCTCCGTCTTGGCGAGCGCCTGGCGGCACCGCCCCAGCTCCGTCTCCACGCCCTGCCAGCGCCGCCGCGCATCCTCAACGCTCCGCACAAACGCTACAAACTCTGCGGGGTGGGGGGGGGGGGGTTGGAGGGGGGGAGCGAGCTGTCATTCTAGGCTTCGTGTTGCCAATTTCATTGATGATTTGGTGACAAATTGGACCACCATGGGTTGGCATCGCCGTCCATGAGATTACTTTGCCCTTTCTCATTAGAGTTGCACTCTAACTGCCACGGTCGATCCTCACCCACATACCCTTGTCCACCACAGTCTACCTTTACCCAGCAGGGTCAACCCCTGGCCACGAGTCTACCCTTGCCCTCAACCACGGAACCTTGCCCACCAGTCTACCCTAGCCAACACTCGACCCCCATGGTGGACTCACCTGGCTCGATGCCCATGGTGAGGATGTCCGTCTGCCGCACCATGTCGTCAAAGAGGGGCAGCAGGGCTCCCTTAACGGTCGCCATTGTCTCCTCCCGGGCTCGTCAAACACGGATGAAGGGCGTGTATGCGTGCAGCAGAGGGAATTCTACGGGCGGCAGCCTCGATCCAACGTCCTACCAGGAGAGTGAAGGTGCAGGCGCAACAATTCATCGGGAAAATCGGTTAATACGGTCATACCACATGCAGCGAATTGTGCGTGTACGAATGGGATAAGTGTAAAAGAAATATTGTTTTTTTAACTCCTGTGGATTCTACAGATTGATACCGCTCTAGATTCTACATTCAGCAAATGAGCATGAATATACTGAATCATGAATTGTGATATCAATGGTATGTGGGCTACTGTACATTCATATGGTCTGAGATTAAAAAACATAACTTTTACATATTTAATTTTATATCCAATAAACGCTGAATGTGGTAACCTGGACAAATGGTAATATAAAAAAGCTGACGATACATATTTCTGCTAATCCACTGCTGGACGGAGGTGCCCCTATGCTGTGTCAGTACTGGGGGCTATTCCCCACCCTTCACTACGCTGTCCAGTGCGACTTGATGAATATTCTGTTTTTTTGCTCGTTAGTTTGCACATTCCCTCCCTGCAATGCCCTGAAACGGCTGCCACCGCCGCCAATGTGACGGTCTTGGGCTGGTCGTCCTTGTAAAAGAGCCGCTTAACTCAAAGGGCCTCCTCACCAGATGGAAATAAAGTCTGAGGGCGAGGCCCAGGACTTGTTCACATATCAGTCGCCGCTGATGTTAGCCGTGCCTGGGAATCAAGCCCAGGGAGCTGGGTCAATGTTGCAGTGTGCAAACCACTGGGCCACCGCTGACCCATTCACAGTGTATATCTCATAGATGCTGTGCATATTCTAGGACCTTTCTTATGATGGTTATAAAGTAAACAAATATCCTCCATATAGCCTTAACAGACAGACTGTTAGTGAGGAGCACCTATGAAGGCCAGCACGGCACGCGAGGGGGTGGGGTGCCAGCACCACGCCCGGCCGCCTTTGTCTCACTCGTGGCAATCCTTACAAACTGCACCAGGTACCCATTTGAGGCAGAGGCGACTTAGGTGAGGCCAGGGACCGGTTCAGATAATCGTCACCGATGTTGGCCGGGAGCGGGAATCGAACTCGGGTCACCAGGTTCGTAGTGCAGCAGCGCGCTAACCGCTGCACACCCAAGAGGACATCATCCACTGCGGTGACGAAGCGATGAGAGCGGCTGGTGTGCAGATGGCCCGAGTGGTTGCATCGCAGGACGAGAGGAGGTGGTGATGGTTTGGGGAGGGCTTCGTCCAGCAGTGGATTGTATGTGACAGACTGCAGAGCCCCCCCCCACCCCCCGTCATAGAAAAATGGAATTTCCACCACAGGCTCAGGTTTTTCAAAGACGACATTCACACAAAATAAATGTGGGTAGGACAACAGAACTATAATCCTCACAACACAATCCTTCCAAACTTAGCAGCGTTAAACACGGTGAGTTTTTAGACGGGTGACTGCTTGGGATTTTGAAACCGAGTGATGGTGACGTCAACCACGGCGCCTGTGCCAGGCTAGGTGCACTTTAAGGCCACGTGAAGTGTCGAAGGCCCGCTGGAAGGTCACGGGACAGACCCAGCAGGTGCCTTTCTGTGCCAACTTTCTGTGTTTTATCCGCAAGGTTCTCAGCTCGTTGTTGTGAGCGTCGCTCCTCTGCCCTCCCACACAAAGAAAAATATCCCCCGTGTAGCCTGCAAGTGCTGTTAGCGAGTAGCACCTATGAAGGACAGGCGAGGGGGTGGGTGGCCAGCACCACCCCCGGCCGCCTTTGTCTCCCCAGTGGCGATGTTTACCACACACCGCACCAGGTACTCGTTTGAGGCCGAGTCGACCTAGGGGAGGCCCAGAACGGTTTCAGATAATCGGAAATGGAACTCGAGTGATCAGGTTCGTAGCGCAGTGCGCTAACCGCTACACCACCGCTCCCCCCACACGCAACACACGGGAGCGATTACTCCGCAAACTAAATAATAATCGCCTGCTGGGACTGACGAAACGGCTGTACGCGTACTTACACCATTGGAACCTCCTTTGCCAGTAGCAAAATATGATAATTGGTTGTGTACCCTTGTTGCCAGATAAAAGGGTAAAAAAAAACAATTATCATGAACTGTACACACGAGTGGATAACACGAAGGGGGGTGGGAAGCCCCGTCATCCAGCAGTGGAATCAGACAAAGTGGTGCACTTGCTGTGTACTGTGTGCAATGTGTACTGTGTGTAATGTGTACTGTGTGTAATGTGTGCAATGTGTACTGTGTGTAATGTGTACTGTGTGTAATGTGTGTAATGTGTACTGTGTGTAATGTGTACTGTGTGTAATGTGTACTGTGTGTAAGGTGTACTGTGTGTAATGTGTGTAATGTGTACTGTGTGTAATGTGTGCAATGTGTACTGTGTGTAATGTGTACTGTGTGTAATGTGTGTAATGTGTACTGTGTGTAATGTGTACTGTGTGTAATGTGTACTGTGTGTAAGGTGTACTGTGTGTAATGTGTGTAATGTGTACTGTGTGTAATGTGTGCAATGTGTACTGTGTGTAATATGTACTGTGTGTAATGTGTGTAATGTGTACTGTGTGTAATGTGTACTGTGTGTAATGTGTACTGTGTGTAAGGTGTACTGTGTGTAATGTGTACTGTGTGTAATGTGTACTGTGTGTAATGTGTGTAATATGTACTGTGTGTAATGTGTGTAATGTGTACTGTGTGTAATGTGTACTGTGTGTAATATGTACTGTGTGTAATGTGTGTAATGTGTGTAATGTGTACTGTGTGTAATGTGTACTGTGTGTAATGTGTACTGTGTGTAATGTGTACTGTGTGTAATGTGTACTGTGTGTAATGTGTACTGTGTGTAATGTGTGTAATGTGTACTGTGTGCAATGTGTACTGTGTGTAATGTGTGTAATGTGTACTGTGTGTAATGTGTACTGTGTGTACTGTGTGTAATGTGTACTGTGTGTAATGTGTACCGTGTGTAATGTGTACTGTGTGTAATGTGTACTGTGTGTACTGTGTGTAATGTGTACTGTGTGTAATGTGTGTAATGTGTACTGTGTGTAATGTGTACTGTGTGTAATGTGTACTGTGTGTAATGTGTGCAATGTGTACAATGTGTACTGTGTGCAATGTGTACTGTGTGTAATGTGTGCAATGTGTACTGTGTGTAATGTGTGCAATGTGTACTGTGTGTAATGTGTGCAATGTGTACTGTGTGTAATGTGTAATGTGTGCAATGTGTACTGTGTGTAATGTGTGCAATGTGTACTGTGTGTAATGTGTACAGGTAAAATACCCGCCGACTTTAACGCTAATCGCCCTGGGGACCTACCGATGCAGACGCGTTATCAGGCTAGTTTAGACGCAATCGCCTCGTATCGTGAATACTTTGGTGAGAGGATGAGGGGGGGTGAGTGACATAGTTGACATAGTTTGTTTTTTAGAATTGTTAAATTAAGAAGCTTCAAAGGCCCCACGCTCGCCTCAAACAATGGGCCGCATTGAGGCCTTGTGCCGAAGCCAGTCGGCGTCTCAGGCCTCGACTCGCCCCCGACAACAACAACAACGACGACGACCCGAGCACTCAGCCCCCCCGAGGCGGTAGCTTCTCTCGGACGAAGCGACACATTAAAAACATCACACACAAGTCGAAATATACGTGCGTTATTTAAATTTTTAAATTGTTATAATTTTAAAATCACCTCAGGAGAGAGACGCACACCGGCAGCCACGATCGCGCCTTCCTGCCAGATTCAAATTTCCACAGCGACCAATCAGATTTGAACGTGGTGCTGACGTCACCAACCGCTTTCTAATTTGCATTTGTTAAGGCCGTTTGGTGACGTCACTTCATGAATATTAATTAGCTCGCGCATTTCGATTTAAAGCTTTCGTGACTGCAGGGATTCATATTCTTGGTTCATTCGGTAAAGTCACGTAGGAGGGAAATAATACAATAATAGAAATTAAGCAATTAAATTATCACGACGTTTCGATTGCAACACAAGCAATCGTCATCAGGTGTGAAAACGACAGCAAGAAAATGTTTTATTTTTATTATTTACCTTTTTACGTGACTTTACCGAAAGAACCAAGAATATGTATCCATACATTTATTTATGAAAAACTAGCTTTACTAGCCGGCTTCGCCCGGGACTTGGATTATTGTCGAGGATTAATTTCATATTCCCTTATAATTCACTGAAAAACCATGAAAAATAAATATATGCTTGCAAGAAAGAAAAAACCCGAAACAGATCACGTACAAGGGAACTAATACAATATTAAATAATGAAGAAAATGACAACCAATATTTTATTATTTCCCTTCTACGTGACTTTACCTTTTGATATGCAAATTATTTTGTCGAAGCGCCCTTTCCCCCCCTCCCAACCCAGCTTATATATATGCTCCAAGCTCGTGTGCTGTTTCATTCAGACGCTGTCTCCCCGACAGACCTGGTTTTCACCTGAGGACGGCTGCTTGCGTTGTGGCCGAAACGTCGTGAGAATGATTTTATTATGTTTTATTTTTATTATTTTATTACTTCCCTTCTACGTGACTTTACCGAAAGAACCAAGAAGATGAATCCCTGCAGTCACGAAAGCTTTAAATCGAAATTTTACCGTAAGAACCAAGAAAATCAATTTAACTAAATTGGATGTTTTTCACTCAAGGAATTTCAACCTTAAGGGGCTGTCCATAAATGACGTCACGCGATTTTGGACGATTTTTTACCCCCCCCCCACCCCTTCCATCGTCACACGGCGTCACAAAAAGTCAGACCCCCCTCAAATGTGACGTCACAAAGCTTAGCCCCCCCTCCCCCCCCCAAAAAAAATAAAACATGCTTCAAATCGCTTTAAACTATTGTCATTGTAGTGCGTATTTAATGTGGCGCTGCACTCTGATATTGTAGGAGAAAACATTTACTAAAAGTCTATTTAATTAAGTAGAACGTGTTGTCTACATTTATTTAAAATTGCACATTTTGATGTGACGTCACATTTCTCACCCCCCCCCCCCTCATCGTCACACATCGTCACAAATGTCTGCCCCCCCCCCCCATCCTAGGTGCGTGACGTCATTTATGGACGGCCCCTAGGGTCACGTGGTCAGAAAGTTACAACAAACAACGCAAAAACACGATAGGAGTGCAAAGTATAGGAAACACATCACTAACAAAAAACACGACACAACAAGGGTGTATCTTTATCTTACCAGGTGAAGCCCACTGAGTAATGCTGCCGGTCGCAGGCCCTCGTCTAGGTCGACTCAGCCTCAAATGAGTACCTGGTGCGGTGTGTCGTAAACATCGCCACTGGGGAGACAAAGGCGGCCGGGCGTGGTGCTGGCCACCCAGCCCCTCGTGTGCCGTGCGGGACTTTAGATGATTTAGATTATTTGGCTGCTATGGATGTCCATATGATAAGCCACTTTATTGAGCTATCATTTGTGGCCGGGTTATTCTGAAAAATTAGTTACTAGGTCAGTGGGCTTTACCTGGTAAGATACAAAAAATAGTTTAGTTGAATCTGTATATATATATTTTTTTAAGTGATTTATTTACCTTTCCTGTACTTTGAACTCCTGCCTGTGCTGTTTGTATTGTTTGTTGTTGTAGCGTTCTGATCACGTGACCTCACTGGACGTCTGTGAAATAAAGAGCTTTCTAGCTCATCGGATTGCACTAGAAATAAACATTCTGATAGGTACTGGTCGCTAACAGCACTTGCCCCGGCAGTCTGTTAGAGGCTATACGGGGGAGTTTTGGCAGTGTGTGGACAAGCACAGTTAACAAAATAAACTAAGCACAGAGATTCATATTATTGGTTCTTTCGGCAAAGTCACCGAAAGAACCAATCATCATCTGATGATGATTGGTTGTGTTGCAGTCGAAACGTCGTGAGAATTTTTATTGTTTTATGTTTATATTATTTTATTATTTCCCTTATACGTGACTTTACCGAAAGAACCAATAATATGAATCCCTGCAGTCACGAAAGCTTTAAATCAAAATTTAAACACAGAGAGTTTTAATGGACAATAACAGTCGGTGATTGTACTTGTATACATCCTTAATAGAGTTTTTTTTGGGTGAGATTGCGTAAATATATAAATGTGTCGTTAAACTCTCCACCACCCGACACAGCCAACTAGTAAGGTTTGTCACGGAAACAGAACGTGCCCAATTCGTCACTAGTGCAGCACTAACCGGTGTGTTGGAGAGCCAAGCCACAACATTTACAATCTGAGTACGACGTTTCGTCAGTAATTACAACCAGCTTCATCAGACGACAGACAGATTTGTGGAGAAATCCTCCCATATCGTTCCTTAAATAGAGGGAGAGGTGTGATGATGTCACTCGTGTGCTCTTCTTGCACGAAGTGGGGGGGGGGGGAAATTCATGAATGCATCTAAATGACTCTGGGAATCTATTGGCGTTTGGGTTATTCACATGTTCATCAACGACCATTATGCATGCGCATTATACAAACCCATGGTTATTTTACCTCCTGTCGATTGTGTGCTGAAAATAATAATGTATACATTATTACCTGAACATGTTTCCCGATTGCAGTTGTGTAGTGTATAGTGTAGTGTATAGTAGTGTATAGTGTAGTGTATAGTAGTGTATAGTGTGTTGCATAGTGACGTGAGGCTGTAGCAGTTGTGTAGTGTATAGTGTAGTGTATAGTGCAGTGTACAGTAGTGTAGTGTATAGTGTAGTGCATAGTGACGTGAGGCTCTAACAGTTGTAGACCTTCGGTGTCTGACGCAGATTTTGAGTGACGCTGCTGCTGCTGCTTCTGCCTCGGGGTCTACCGTGAGCCTTCAGCGCAAGGCGAGAGCCGTGAGGTACGATAGCAAAGGCAGGCGCCACTTTTTTATTTAGTGCTGCTGGCGAAAGAGCCAACGAAGAGTATGGAGAGCCATGATAAAGGTTTTTTTTTGGTTAGCTCGCGTAAATATATAAATGTGTCGTTAAACCCGCCACCAGCCGACACAGCCAATTCGTAAAGGTTTGTCACGTAAACAGAACGTGGACAATTCGTTACTGGTACAGCACCGCCGGTGTGTGTGTTGGAGAGCCAAGCCACAACATTTACAATCCGAGTCCGACGTTTCGCCTGGAATTGCAACGAGCTCCATCAGTATGGAGAGCGGTGGTCGAGTCGTGGATGATTTGACACAAAGGACAACACGAACGGCATGGTCGCCGCTCTGTCACCGTTGCAATTTGAGGATGTTGCTTGATGATGACTGATGAATACGCAGAAATATTTCCTAACCAAAAACGCAAAGACCCCATGTCGCTTTGACAGACTGTTGGGGCAAGCGCAGTTAGCGAGTCGCACCAAAGAAGGCCGCTACGGCACACGAGGGGGGGTGGGGTGGCCACAAGCACGCCCGACCGCCTTTGTCTCTCCCCACAGGCGACGCTCACACACTGCACCAGATGCCCTGCTCATTTGAGGCCGAGCCGACCTAATCGTCACTGGCGTCGGTATAGGCCGTGAGCGGGAATCGAACTCGGGTGGCCGGGTTCTGAGCGCGGCTCGGCCACCGCTGCTACTTAATAAGCCACGCACGCGCCCGCATGTCCTCCAGCAAATTCTAATAAGGCCACACCACACGTGGATGATTGAAATTGCTTGTTGACTTTATTTACAAATGTCGCTTCGGCACAAATTAAAACATTTGGTTTGTCCAGCCTCCACGATTATTGTCATCGTGGTTGTTGTTGTTGTTATTATTATTACTGTAGAAATCCAGTAACATAAAACGTACAAAAAACATTCAAGCAGCGACAAAGGTATAGCTTTGTGTTAAACTCACAATACAGTCCTGTAACACAATATAATACAACCATGGTATGGGGCGTTTGGGTTAGATCGCGTAAATAGACGTGTGTCGTTAAACCCGTAACATCTATCACTCTTCATCATTGAGCTCACAGTACCCTGGGAGGACTCAGTAGATGAGGCTTATGAGCGAAAACATCTGCGCTATGCCGATCTAGCTGCCGAAGCACGGCATCATGGCTGGAACACAGAAGTCCGACCAGTGGAGGTGGGCTGCAGAGGTTTTGTGGCAACATCTACAACCAGACTGCTTAGAGACCTGGGAATTAAGGGCCAGAGCCAGCGTTCGGCAATCAAAGCTGTATCGGAGGCGGCAGAATGCAGCAGTCAGTGGCTCTGGATGAAGAGGAAATACCCCAGCTGGGCCCCAAAGTGAGAGGGCCAGGAGGTATGCAGTCAACAATGCTTGACTCAGGGAGGAGGACGCCCCTGCCATGCATAGTCCCATGGGATGTTGGCTACCAACAACAAGGCAACTCCTATGACTAATTGGGAATGGGACGCAAGCGTAGGATTGATCACCCTGTCGCTGGCCGCCTTTGGGGAGGGTGTATAGTATGAAAGGCCGAAACACCCTAGGAACCAAAGGGTCACTACTGACGATGCGCTCCCCAAATTTCACCAGGCTCACTGTTCATGAACTCTTGGAAGTGCTTGCACAAAGGATAGTAACATCTCATCCTGTGTTCTTTGGAATCTATTTAAGGAACGAAACGGGAATATGTCTCCACAGATCTGGCTGTCGCCTGATGAAGCTGGTTGTAATTACTGGCGAAACGTCGGACTCGGATTGTAAATGTTGTGGCTGAGCTCTCCAACACACCGGTGAGCTGTACTAGTATACTACACTATACACTACACCATACACTACATCATACACTATACACTAGTGCTGTACTCGT